ACTCCGAGGTCCCTCTCACAGTTACTACTATTGAGCAAGGTGCCACCTATGCTGTACTTGTGCATTTGGTTTTTCTTGCCTAAATGTAGAACCTTGCTTTTTTCACCATTGAATTTCATTTTGTTAGATAGTGCCCAGTGTTCAAGTCTGTCCAGATCCTTCTGTATCTTAAGCCTGTCTTCTGGAGTGTTGGCTATTCATGCCAGCTTGGTGTCGTCTGCAAATTTGATGAGTTCCCCATCTATCCCCTCGTCCAAATCGTTGAAGATGTTGAAGAGCACTGGGCCCAGAACAGAGCCTTGGGGCACCCCACTACACACTTCCCTCCATGTAGATGTGGTTCCATTGAGGACCACTCGCTGAGTACGGCCGGTCAGCCAGCTACGGATCCATCTGGCGGTGATGCTGTCTACCCCACATTTCTCTATCTTGTCAAGTAGTAGGTTGTGATGTACTTTATCAAATGCCTTACTGAAGTCCAAGTAAATTATGTCCACAGCATTCCTCTCATCCACTAATTTTGTCACTTGGTCAAAGAATGCAATAAGATTTGTCTGGCATGATCTATTTTTGACAAACCTTTGTGAATACTCTGGGGGCCGAGGACAGGCCGAAGGGAAGAGCTCTGTATTGATAATGCTGCCCTGCAAGGCAGAACCTGAGAAACCTTCGGTGCTCCGGTAGGATTGGGATGTGAAGGTAGGCCTCCGTCAGATCTATGGACGTCAGGAAATCTCCCTTTCTGACGCTCGCTAAGATTGACTGAAGAGTCTGCACCTTGAACCTCCTGTATGCCAGGTGGGTGTTCAGATTTTTTAGATCTAGAATTGCCCTCCACCTCCCCCCCCCCGAACTCTTTGGGACTAAAAATAATATGGAGTAGAACCCTTGCCCCTGTTGCTCCTTCTGCACCAGCTCTATCGCCTGGATGTCCAGAAGCTGCAGGATGGCCTCCCTGAGGAGCCGCCTTTTGGATGGATCCCTTGACAGTGGACAAGGGATGAATCGGTTCGGGGGTTTGGAGATGAATTCCAGTGAGAGGCCGAATCTGACAGTGTTTAAGACCCAAAGGTCCGTGGTGGTGGCCTGCCATTTGTATGCGAAGAGGGCCAGCCTGCCACCAATGGGGGAGTCCTCCCCGCCGTTACTTGGATTTGCGATAAGGACGCCCCCCCTCCACGAAAAGGCTGCTTTGACTGGAATTGTTGCCTAAATCTGTCCCTGCTGCCTGGTCTATCGCCCTGTCGGTCTGATCTGGGCTGATAGGGACGGGAGAAAGAGTTCTGTTCTGGGCCTGCTTCAAATCGAAAGGACGGCCTGCGAGGGAAGGAAGAGACTCTCCTCTCCGTTCTTTTGGACCAACACCTTGCGTTTATCCTTGTTTTCTACCAGATAAGGGTTAAGAGCCTCACCAAAAAGCTTGCCGCCCTTGTAGGGTGCTGCTGCCAACCGCCACTTTACTTTGATGTCGGCTCGCCATTGCTTGAGCCACAGCAGTCTACGAGCAGCAGTGTTTTGTGCAATTGCCCTTGCAGAATAGTTTGCCGCATGTAAGGAGGAATCTGCCAGAAATTCTGTTGCCGCCACTAACCTTCTTAAGTCCTGGTGGGTTCTCTCCTCGTCCCGGGAATTTCTCGCCTGGAGTTGGCGGAGCCAAAGTAACGTAGTCCTAGCAAAAAAGGAATTAGAAATAGATGCCTTGATCGCCCACACCGAGGCCTGGTGTGCCCTGCGGAAGGTAAGATCCGCCTTCCTATCCTCAGACTTC